CCCCCCCCCCCCCAAGTCCCTTACCTTGTGGATGGCGGGGAACCACGATGGAGGGCGTTGGCGGACGACGGTGGGGTCGGCGGGGTCACGCTCGGTGGCAGGTGTTGGCAGGTGCTGGTGGCGTTGAAGTTCCGCGTCGAAGTCCGGAGGAGCTACAGAACTGCAGGGCAGGGAACGGGGGGACCCGTCTTCCCCCGAACATAACGCACCCTCATTTTGGTTGTATCTGGCCGGAAATATAACTCGTATACATTCATTTTTAGGGTGCGTTATGTTCGGGGGAAGACAGTAGGGGGTACAACATGAGAATGAGGGAGGGAGCGGGGGCCGGTAGTTTCCGCCCTCACCGATTTGAAATCGTGGCCATCTGGGCCGTCCATCTTTGAGATCGACGATCTAGATCGGGCCCGATTTCGAATCGGTGAAATCGGGTCTGCCGGCCCCGGTTTTTTTTTTTCGTGGTCTGCATAGTCTGTCGTAAGGGCGGAAAGGCACCCAGCACTGAAAAAAAAAAAAAAAAAAACCCTACATTGATGCGCTGGGGGCGCCCGGTGGCCAACCGGGCGTGACAACCGCCCTCCCCCCCCCGGGCGGTGACCAGGCCGCCGGGCGGCCCGGGGACCAGCCTAGTGTATAACTTTTTTTTTTTTTGGCGCTGAGGCTGTCGGGATCCCTGCCTGGGGGTCATGCCCAGCCAGTTACCCAGGCATGTATCCAGGCACAAGTTGGGTGCCCGGGCGCCTGGAGCAAGGACGTAGTCAAAAGGTGGTAACATAAAAAAACGCTAAAGCTCAAGGCTGTGTGAACCGAGTGAGTTAGGATGTCCTCACACAACCGAGAACCAACTAGACCCGGAAAGGGAAAGCGAGGCCTTGATCTTTGAAGTCCTGATCAGCCTGCAAATAGCCAACCTGGCCTCAAAGTCCACAGCAGACAGTCGAGTGTACCCCTTCCAATGGTTAACTAATAAATACTGGACAATCCCCTCCCCCCCACAACACAGACAGGGGGACACCCCAGCCCAAGTAACCAGAATGGGCATTAACAACGACCCGTTGTGGGCCTTGTGGCCCAATATGATCAAGCTCTGGAGGCGATGCGGACCACAGCAGAAACAACCCCCCAACAGGTGGCAGTATGTGTGGTGCCAGCCCTCTTTTCGGAAACCCTTACATCCTCAATGAGCCAGGCACCCCCTTCAAGTTGACAGCAAACTCACCATGGCTCACATGGGCCAAGAAAGGGGTCTACACGGTAGGGGACCTGTGGGACACGACAAGAGCTGACTGGGCTACAACGAACCAGCTGAAACAAAAGTTGAAACATGTCAAGCACGTGGAGAACAAAATGCTCCAACTGAGGGAAGCACTCCCCTTGGCTTGGAGACTGGTCCTCACAAAGGGTCCTACGGTTCTGCCGGATGACTGGGTAATAAGAAACGCAGATCTGCCCCTCTCGCACTTCGTATACGAAGTACGACAGAATGACGAAGGGCGTTGTACTCTAGATGCCCATGAACCTCAGGTGCCGGGGACCAGGTTCGCCAAACTGACAAGGAACGACGACCTGGATGCAACTGACATGTGGGGAGGGCTAATGGTCATTAGAGTGGTAGGAGACACAGACAACGGCTTCTTCCTATACGAGCCCACAATCCCGATTGCCAAGCTGTCGTTTGATCTGGCTGAGTGGGAATGGCCTGGCACAAAGCCCATGCGCGTGGGGGAGTACATAGTGAATGGGGCCTACGGAGCCTCAAGACCGGATCTGCCAATCAATCAAGTGATATCACAAAGACGGGCACGGGACTCGCCGATGGACCAGAACCTACTGGTTCACCTACCATGGGCCAAATATTCTAAGATTATGCCGACCAATCTCAGATCCCTGCAGTGGCAGATTCTGCACCGTTGCCTCCCCACCCCAGATTGGCTCGTTTCAAGAACGGACTTGGAGCAGAAAGGGCTACTGTCTCCCATTTGCACATATTGTGGAAGAGTGTCGCTGCCTGCTAGAGCAACAATGGAACATTGCTTGCTGGCATGCCCGATGGTTAGGCAACTGTGGCAGTGGTGGGATGCAGCATTTCACTCTCTCACAGAGACATATCCCATGGGACCTGGGCCTCCTGCTGCTGGGCAAGAATCAAGACCTGCTGCCCCGGTGGTCCCCTTTTGCAAGCCAGATGCTCTTTTGAAAGAAAAGACCATAGATTTGGACTACAGCAAGCACAACAGGCGGTAGAAGACATCATCAGGTCCCACACACAAGAAGCCTGGAAATCCTTTCAACAGGACTTGTGGGAACAGAAAGACCACAAACTTAGACAAACCATGATTGGCAACTATCGCCAGCTATGGCAGGACCCGAACAATATTTTTTCAGAATTGGACTCGGTGCTCAATATCCACTCGAAGCCATGGAGGGCCACAGAACCCACCTGGCAACTCAGGTCCTTCAGTAAATTCGACGTTTCCTACCTCCAAACCAATTTCGTACTGGTCACAGGTGGTCCCCCCACCCACCCCGCCCACCCCACCTACCCCACCCACCCCACCTACCCACCCAGTCGCATCCCCTCCACTTTCACCAGCTCGCCTGCCCCCTTCCCCTCCCCCCTTTCCCCTCCCACTCTCCATCCCACAAGTCATGGGTGTCGGTGACAATGGAGGTCTTCAAGACTGATCAGCCCGCCTAGGGGAACAGGGGGCCAACCATAGGTGATTGTATAAGACACCAAGCCAGGACAAGAAGGGTTGCGTGCAGAGGTGAATGGGGAGAAGCAGATCGCTACTTCGAACCTCTGTCCAAATCTCACAACCGTAGGAGAGCAGTATGACTCACTTGGCTACTGCCGGCCCCTGGTCTGGACCACCGTCAACTACTTGCTTGTAAGGATGTTACACCCCAAGGGGTGAACAATGGGAGGACACAAAGTTACACCAGGAAGAGAGAGGAACCACGAGAGACTACAACGACTAGACAGGCACTTGCCAGGCACGGCATATAGCACTCAACATCAGCCGGTGAGAGGAGCTAAATAGGACAACAACAGCTGCGACACGATAACACCCGGGAAGGGGAGCGGAGCATCTCAGAATGCACAGCCACGGCCCTTTCCTTCCTGGAAGTAGTAACGAGGAGGGATCTCCTCTCTGTAAAACAGATGTGATTTGGTCCAGATATCGACATAACTGAGTGTATGACAAACTACTTGGCTCATGATAATGAAATGTAAAGGGACGCTGGACCCGCTGGACCCGGTTTCCAGCAGGTGCAATTCCCCACCAAAAACAGCTGCAACATAGTTTTTGTCTTTCAGCCTTCAGGCTATTTCTGAAGGGTGGGGTGGTGGAATGGGAGGTTTGCTTGCCTACATGAACTGGGGGTCAATCATAGGTGATAGCAACGAGAAGAGGCTGCTGGCTGGGTGAATGGGGAGAAGCAGAACACAACTTAGAATCCGTTGCCAATTCTCTTAATAGCAGCCATGGGACTCGTGTATACTAGTACTTACCTTAGGCTGTCCCTGGGAGTACTAGCGGTGCTTGCTCCTATCAGCACCGCTAGCATCAGCTCGGGTTGTTTCTCTTAAAAAACAGAAAAAAACGAGAAAAAAAGAAGATGGAGGACCACTCTCTGCAACTTACAATCAGAAGGCTTGATGTGTGGAACTCCTTTCAAGTGCGCATAGGCTGCTCTTAAGAAAATGTCATATCTGCACAACAAAAGCCGCACAGAAAAGATAAGCTACAATGTTAGGTTGTATACACAAGCAGTGGCCTGATGAACATGCAGCGACAGTCTACCTCATTAACTTTCATAACTTCAACACTGACTGTGCAATGGAGATGCATGTACTTAACATAATCATTGTGTTAATGATCTGGGCGTTTTACACCGTGCAATGCAAAGAGGCTGTTTGGAAAGAGCAATGTACTGAACAGACCGAAAGTAGGGCTCTTGCTGACACCATCTCCGTGGGAGCTGGAATACCAACCGGCAGCTCTACATGAGTCTACAAAACAGTAACCCTAAACCAGCACCTGAGCCGGCACCACAAAATTGCCTTACCTGTGAGTTCGGGTGGGTTTTCCGGGGGGCGGTGACCAGCACCTGAGCCGGCACCACAAAATTGCCTTACCTGTGAGTTCGGGTGGGTTTTCCGGGGGGCGGTGACCATTGGCTACCGGCAGCTTTGTGCGGGTGTTTGCAAGTGGAAACTTTGGCGATTTTCTCAGCACAGAAGAATTTACAGCGAAAAGTAAATTTTGAGGATCCACAGATTACGTTGTGACCTTACCAGGAAAAATGTCAGAAAAATAAAATAAAATAATTTCGACCGTGAAATAATCACCGTGCCGATTCGGTGCATTTCCATTTTTGCCACTCATGTGAGGGCCAGCACAAGTGATTTTTCTCGACGAGAAGAATGAGTGAAAAAAAAACAAATCTGAAAACTTGAGGATCCGTAGATTAGATTATGATCTTTTCAGGAAGAATATCAGAAAACTTCAAAACTCACTTTGGCTGTGAAATAATCGCCACGCCAACTCGGCGAGCTCCCATTTTTGTCACTCTACCATATGTGGGCCAACAAAAGTAGTCCAACTTCAGTGATTTTTCTAGATCAGCAGAATGAGTGAAAATTTCTGAAAACTGGAGGACCATAGATTTCGTTGTGATCTGTCCAGGAAAAATACAAAAAAAAAAGAAAGAAAATCATTTTAACGGCCAAAAAAAAACGCGGCGGCAATCTGATGCATTTTCCATTTTTGCCATCCAGCCAACTCTCCACACTATGCTACTGGTAGCCCTCATGAAACTGTGCTACCGATCCCCCCGTTTTCTGAAAGCGGGTAGAGTGGTGGTTTAAGGAGCAGCAGAGCCCATAATCTAACCCCTGTTTCTGCATAAGCCTCACTGCTCATCACCTTGAGCACACACACACACAATGAGAGATCACACGAAGTCCACACTCGAGTCCAGAAGATGCAAAGTCCAGATAAACACAGCTTAGAAAAATGACTGGAATTTCAAGAAATCCACAAGTGTCCCAGACTGCTCTAGCATAACACACCGACCCGACAGCTTTGCAGCTGAGAGGAGCAGGACTGTGGCCAGTGGAATTAGCAAGGGCCTTCCAGATTAAGTATCACAGGCTAACTTAAGCAGGGGTGAGAGGGGGTACATCCTTCCACAAGGAAGCAATCAATGCCGCCCACTCGGGCCTCCCAGCCGTAATGGGGAGGAGCGTGCGTGAGTTTCCTATGTATTCCATATTGACTTGCCGGGGGAATAGGAACCGGACTGTTGCTCCCCAGAATGGCAGGAGCCAGAACCAAGAGGTTCTGTTTAAAAAAAAAAAAAAAAAAAAAAAAGGAGGAATGACCGGGTATACCTGTGACCCCTCCTGTATCCGGGTCGTCCCCGAGCCTTCAGGGTGTCCCTATGGTAGCGCCCGGGGAGGACGTGTGTCTGCGACTCCTCGGAAGGCGCGGGTTGGTGTAGGTCTAGGTCTAGATAGAGAGGTCTGGGTCGCACCGCTGTAGGGCTCGACTTGCAATAAGATTAGGATATAAATTCATATAATACATCACAAATGATGCCCCCTGGAGGAAGACTGTCCTTGGGGTTGTCACAAGCCATCTGACCTCCTCACTGGTTGAGTACTACGACAGGCACCTCCCGAGGCCTAGCATCCACCCTCTACTACAACATGGACCTTTAAAAAAAAAAAAAATCCAACAAATTGTCCTTCACCGGCCTTGTTTGTTTTTTTTTGAGCCTTCGAGAGATTTTTTTTTTTGTTTTTGAGTAAGTTTTTTTGTTTGCCAAACATTTTCCAAGATTTGTCGACAACTTTTAAATTTTGATACGCGCATTTTATTTATCTCAGTTTTTTTTTCATCAAATCAGGATATCCGTTAAAATTGGAACGATACAGAGAAGATTAGCATGGCCCCTGCGCAAGGATGACACACACAAATCGAGAAATGGTCCAAAAAAATAAAAAAACAAAAAAATCCGACAAATTATCATATTAACTTATTAAGCAGTTTCAGAGTTCCAGTCACAAGCGCTCATCAGTGCAGAGTTCAGCAACCCAATTCCAGCATCCTCTTCCAAGGTAGGTGAATCTCTTCTCTCTCTGTCCCCCCCCTCTCTCTCTCTGTCTTCTTCATGCATGCGCTCACTCTCTCCCTCTACTCTCTCTCCCTCTCTGAGGATCTCGACTCTGAATGCATCCGCCACTACTCAGGTCTACCTCCCTCTGCTCGCTGAGCGGCTATGGCCGCCTTCCCCTCTCAGCACAGCGCTTCCCAGCAGGGCTCCCGTACGTGCTACCTCGCAGGTAGCGCACAAGCGCTTCAGCAGCACTTCCACACTTCTCACGAATGAGCAATCTGCCTGAAATGTGGCTGGCCAGTCCTTATATTGACTTGGACTGAGCCTGAACTCGTCCCAGCCTCTGCTTCCTTTGGCTTGACTTGGTACTGGTACCATATGCCCATGGCCTGTTTGCTTCAGAATGTCAAGGCCTGGTACGTCCCTGAATTCTCTCTCGGTGTGCTGCTGCTTGGGCCTGTCAGTCACGACTTTTCATCTCTGGGATATGCCTCCTCGCCTATGAGACATGACCTTAGCCTGTAGAATATGTCCTTTGACTTCAAGACGTGACTTTTGCCTGTGGGACATGACTTTTGCCTGGGGGATATGACCTTTCACCGTGAGACGTGACTTTTGCCTATTGGATGTGACTTTTGCCTTTGGGATGTGACTGTTGACCGGGTGCCTGTTGGAGTTGACCTCTGGGGCACTTAGCTTTTCTGAAACTGGCCGAATTGGCCCCTCTCGGCCTGAGACATTGACCCTGAGATTCAAATTTGGGGTCTGCATCGTGGAATGCCTTTCATTTCCTTCTACACCCCTGATGTAGCAACCTTGCCGGGAAAAGTGTGAGTTTCCAACGCCTGTAAAGAGTCGTCGCAATGGGGCATTCAAACTCAAATTCCCTTCTGATATTGTCACCAACAGAGATGTTCGTTTTACAACCGAATTGTGGCAGAGCGTGATGGAATTTGCCAACTCCATGGCTGCAAATCCAGCCAGTGTGCAAGAGTCTTTGCCAACTCCATGGCCGCAATTGGGCATTCAAATTTGGATTCCCTTCTGATATCGTCAGCGACATAGATATTCGTTTTACAACCGAATTGTGGCAGAACGTGATGGAATTTGCCAACTCCATGACCGCAAATCCAGCCGATGTGCAAGAGTCTTTGCCAACTCCATGGCCGCAATTGGGCATTCGAATTCGGATTCCCTTCTGATATCGTCAGCGACAGAGATATTCGATTTACAACCGAATTGTGGCAGAACGTGATGGAATTTGCCAACGCCATAGCCGCATATCCAGCTGGTGTGAAAGAGTCGTGCAAGCTCGGGAGCTGTCGCCCGATATTTGCACTGGAGGAACTGAGCATACTTGCTCAAACGGTCAACCACTGTGAGAATGCCCTTGTGACCGAATCGATCGTGGGGGAAGGGGCCGATGACGTCCATAGCAATATAGATGCTAGGCTCCCACGGGTAGGTAACGGTTCCAACTCGCCATAGGTTGCAAGTGCGAGGTTTGCATTTCCGATAAACTTCACAAGACTCGCAACACTTGGTGACGTCGGGGACCAGGCCGAACCAATAAAACCTTTGTTGAAATCGCACAACTGTGCAGTGGACTCCAAAGTGGTCGGCGAGGCCTGCGTCGTGGTATTCCCCAAGCAATTGAGTCCGAAGAAAGCAATCATGAGGAACACAAGAAGTCCTTGCCGTGCGAACGAAGAAGCAAGTAGCCCTTGGCAATGTGGTAGTGGCTTGCCGGTGGGTTCTCCGACGAAAGTGCCTCGTGGAGTGGTGCGAACTTGAGGTCTGACTTGTAAACTCGAATGAAGTGCTGCTGCAGGTGCAGGATCTCATCCAATGCCAATGTGTGATGCGTCATCAGACAAAAATCAGGTCGGCGCAGAAGAGCATCCACAGCCCGGTTGGAGGTACTCGAAACAGGCTGTGGTATGAAGTCAAACTGGTCGATGAAGTACATCCACCGTGCTGCTCACCACGTCTTGCGTCTTGTACAAGGTCAACAGGTTGTAGTCGGTCATCCATGTGAACCTTCGACGCCCGAGGAGGAAGTGCTGCCATCTCTTAGTATCGTGATGAGGGTCGGCAACTCTTTCCTCGCATCATCAAGTGAATTGATGGGAGGGGACTTTTTGGCTGACGTATTCGACCAGGAGCCAATCGTCCCCGTCATACTGCTCCAAGACTGCACCAATGCCATGGAAGCGTAAGATGACCGGGAGGGGTAGGATGGCAAGGAGGGGGAGAAGGACGTGGACAAGGGAGGAGGAAGATGGCAAGGGCAAAGATGAGGAGGAGGGAAAGACGAGGAGGGAGGGGGAGGATGAAGAGGAGGAGGGGGAGATGATGCCTCCTTGGAGGTGCATAGGAGGGAGGACAATGAGGAGGGGGAAGACACGGAGGATGGCAAGAAGGGGGAAGGCGATGAAGCAGAGGATGACGTGGAAGAGAGAGGAGGGTCCCCATTCCCTACCATCTCCCCCCTTTAGTCCCCACCCCCCATTGTCTTTTTCCACCTTTTGTGCAGTTTTCGCCATTGCGAGGGAGGGGTAGGATGGTGAGGAGGGGGACGAGGAGTCCATGCCTGGGAGTATTGATAAGCCCAGGGCTCTATGATGGCTAAGAACAGTAATGAGGGGGGACAGAAGAACTGATGCAAATTCTGTATTGAGCAATTGTAACAGGGGACGCAGGGCCCGCTTCTCAGCAGGTGCTGCTCCCCACCAATAGATGGATCCACCCCGGGACAGCTTGAGGCATCTCAAGCCGTCCCACAGGGATGTTTCTACAAAAAAAAAAAAAAAAAAAAAAAAAGAAGAACTGATTAAAAAATAAATAACTTAGACATAAAACACAAAGTTGATAGGGTTCAGACGTAGACGATACTTGAGCATATAAGAGATACTTGGGGCAGGTTGCATAAAGGACTGCGTAGTASAGATTTGAGGGCGGTATGAGGGTGTAAATATTAGATGGTGCCCAGAGKATCTTAATAGGGAAACTGAGGAAGGGTTTAACACGATGAGAGGCTCGTGAGATTGCTAGAACAGCCCCCCCGACCCAGGCCTCCCCTGGGGACCCGTCTGTTGTGTGGCTGGGTGCTGCTAGGAAGCTTCCCGACCAACARAGGTGTCCCTGGGAAGGCTATGGTATGGGAAGTGGGCTTTGGTTGTAGCAATCCCCCCCTTGAGAGGCGTCTAGGGCCGCAAGGGCAAGGCTTTCCCCTTCTCTTTTAAATCAAACAGTATTTTGTTTTTCCAGGCTTGCCGGTGATGAGCAACCGGACTGTTGCCCCCCAGAATAGAAGGGGCTGGGTATTATGGGTAAAATAAATAAATAAATAAATAAATAAATAACTTAAATACACTGGAACAACAAAACTGAGGTCATCGTGGTCTGGACAAAAGGGAATGGAGAATTGTGTGCAAGTGCTAATCGACACCTGCTCACATGCACACCAAGAGTTCCTGACACACATGGCTGGTATGACAGGTGCAGTTCTTAGAACAATGCTGTCAAAAAGACAAGTAGTCGTCCTGGACAAACAATAATGCGGATGGTTATCGCACATTATCGCAGACTCAAATTGACCACCGCATTATATAGTCGGGCATTGTGACTTGATGAGGGTCTTTTCTTGACAGGCTCAGAGTCTTCAGACAGATATGCCAGGCCAGCCACTCTGGGTCATAGAGCGACCATATCAAACGACACCTGCTTGCTCTTTCCACACAACCTGAAATGAACATTACAGATAGCAATATAGTTTTTTTTCCCCTTTTTTTTAGCAATTGAGAAAAGGCATTTTTCCAAAGGAAAAGAGAACTGGGAAAAGGGACCAAGCCACTCACAGAGCCCCACTGGTTCCTCCCATGTGAATACCAATTGTCCGCCCCAATTCCCTGATTGTTGTAGCCGCATCATTCAACGGATATCTGCAAGCAGGAATAGATGAACATGCAGGCACAATGTTGAAGTGAAAAGACACTCGCATGATGCAATTCTTTGATGGGGCGACCCTTAATGGCCCAAAAAAGAAGAAAAATCAGAGAGCACAATGCAGAGTGCAGCAATTGTCATTACATTCAAGGGGTATCAGCAAACATCATCTGTGTTGTTCGCACATGAAAAGGTGCGATGAGCAGTTCTCCAGTTCAGATTGGAGTGAGATTGCAGAACCATTTAAGTCCTCCAACCACCAAGGATAAGTGGATGGGAAGACCTCCTGGGCACCTAGGCTTCAATTTTGGAGGCAGCCCAAGTCCCCCCTTCCAGAGGGAAACTCACGAATTATGTCTGGGTCCCACCGTAGGACTACCATCTCCCCAGCTGAGACGGTGCCGGATCATTAGCCACGATTTTGGTGTAAGAACCATTGACATGCCAACATTTCTCTCCAGAGCCCCTCCCACTCTCCCACCCAGCTTGGCCCCCTCTTCACATCGGCAAGATGCATCCATTACATGGAACATCAGGCTTCCCTCTACATATGATGCATGTTCAATATGGGGTCTACTGAGAGACCGGCAAAGGAGGACCTACACACTGTAACGTGCTTGGCTTAAACTGCCACTACTCCTCTGCCTATGTTACCGAAACTCAAATTTTCATCTCTGAGTGTTATTGAAACAAGTAGGTGAAAGGAAACAGATGCATCCCCAGACAGAGACTGGACTGCCTGAAGGAAAAGAAAGTGAAATTTTTTAAAAAGAGGACACAGGGAAAAGGGTTCACACCGGTAAATCAGAAGCCTTCAATGGCTAATCACTTACGCGGCACTGCCAGTAAATCAATGGCTACACACTAGGCGAAGGGGTTCACATCCCAGCAGCTCTGATCTATGCACGGTCTGCACGGAAAGTGCGGTAGAGGACATAGTACACTGCTTAGTGCATTGTAGGGAGGTGACAGATTACTGGGCAAGAGCCTCGGCACTCTGGGATTCCCTATTCCTAACCCCTTTCCCTGAACATCCCATTCAACTTCTCCTCTTGACTAACATCCCTGAACAGCTCCAGAAGGTAGAAAAGATTTGGTTTGGAGTCTTTGGACTCATCAGGAAGGTGACGCTATGGGTCATATGGAAGGAAAGATGCAGCAGAGCGATTGAAGGACTGTCCAACCCACGTGAGAAGGTTTGGGCGAAGACGAAAACAATGATACAAGCCGAAATCCTCTGCAGATGGCGGAAGACCAAACAATCATGGACGGAGGATGAGGAACAACAAAAGAAGGTGAGACTGAGATGCAGCAGGATCTGGTTGATAAGCGGTAAAATAGCGGAGTTATGAGAAGACCGCATTTGCTGGAAAGACTGGCATAACTCAAATTCAGGAAGGGGCTACCAACAACAGATAACTGCGGACGGGCAAAACACCTCCTGCTCAGACCTCCACAAGGGACGGACAAGACCAAATGACCGCAGCAACAGAGAGGCATTTCAAGATGGACGGACGAGACCAAATGGCCATAGCAACGGAGAAACAATTGATTCAAGAGAAATGCTGGAGAAAGGTTACAACGGAAAGAAGGTCGCATATCACTCAAGGGGAACAGTCAAGGGCCCAGAAATGTAGCCACACAACCCAGCCCAGGAGGGGATTCGAAGAGTCACAAAGGTGTTGGTAATGGTTACCGGATGAGGGTTTAGGGTTTTAGTGACGCTTAGTTTGATTTTGTTTTTGTTTAGGTAGCTCAGTTGGTTAGAGCAAAGGACTGAAAATCCTTGTGTCAGTGGTTCGAATCCACTTCTAAACAGGCAACATCAATCTCTTAAGAAACTCAACTTGGTCAACTTGCCGAGTAAGTAGGCTAAGGACGGATTCGAACCATCATTCGTGGATTTTCATTTTAAGGGAATTAAAAATGGGTGGGACAGAGGGTATTGTGGCTCACGGGCAGGACGGGTACGTGGGGGTACAAAGGCTAGCTTGGGCAATGGGTGAGCTCTTTCTAGGTGGCATGGATCTATGTGGCAGATCTGGTTATCAGGTCTGAGAGGAAAGAGTGAGGCATGGCAAGCTGGCAGTCAATCCTCCACCAAGATGGAGCAATCAATGCTGATCAGGAGTCCTTCGGCCAGACGGAAGGAAGCGTGGGTGGTTCTTATTGTAATGTCTATTCTGACTTGCCGGTGGAATAGGAACCGGACTGATGCTCCCCGAATGGAAAGGAGCCAGGACAATAAGGTCCTGTTTTTGTTATAAAAAAAAAAACAGGAAAAGGAAATCTCAGGACGAAACCGGAAAAAAGTTGAAAGAATTATTGCATAATAATGCCATAATTACAATATGATGTCATAATTTACATATAAGAATAAAAATTATAAGAATACAAGCCGCTCCCCACACGGGCCGTGGGCCCATTTTGTACGTTCCCTACACTGTGAACGGGGGCTCGCGTGGGAAGCTCACACGCGACGCTCTATTTCCTTTAAATTAGCGATGCTGGGAGTCTGTGTCGAATTTCACAGCCTACCAACAACAGCATCATACAAAATGCGGAATAGATATATATATATATCGTCAAATAGAACTGCCCGGTAAACCGTAGGCAGAGAGGGAGAAGAGGACAACAAACGAGGGGCTGTGACAAACTGTTTCGTCGGAGTTTCACCGACTCATCAGGTATATTTGACGATATATATAAAAATTATATAAGAATCTTACCAGGAGATAGGGTGAAAGTGGAACTTAGTCCTTATGATCTTACGAAAGGAAGAATAACACAATGGCTTTATATGAACTTGCAGTTTTTGATCCGTCTGATCCTATTTTAGATCCTATGTGGCGGCAAGGAATGTTTGTAATTCCTTTTATGACT